AACCCATTAGGGAACGATATGTTCTTCTTTCGAGGCGATATATTGTTCATAATGACGTGTTCAATTTCAAAATTCAAAATTTAATATTCCCAAAGAAAATTAATTCTTTTTCAAAACTATATTTTTTTCAACCAAAACACAATGCTAAAGACTATTTCAACCAAACCCTATCCTCCTGCTTCAAAAGTGAATTATCATCCATGAGTCCTCATGTGTTCTCAACCCATAAAAAGATGGGTGGAAAAAATGAAAACAAATTCACCACCTCCCTTTATAACTAACTATATTTCCTTCAATAATCTCTCATCCTCATACAAAAACTTTCAGATTACACTATAAGAAATTCATATTCATAATCATGTTTCTAAGGCCTTTGTTGACCTCATTTTTGTTTGAGGTCATCAAGACTTTTCCCGATTTCCTAATTGGTGATCCAATGGAGGACAGTTGTACACTTGGCATCCATAGAGATTCCAATTAACTCTCAATCTAGCCCTCAATCAACAATCAACCCAGTCTTCAATAAACAACATATCCAGCCCTCAATCAGGCTCAATCAATCTTAACTATCATTGAGCTTCCACAACTCCCTTCCACTTTTCCCGAGTAAAAGCCACTATCAAGGCCTCGCTGGAGGTGAGATCTCCGGCCAACTGAGGTTAAAGTCATTCCAAGGCGTTTGGTGATCGATCCAGGTGCTAGGAGCTCTAAGGATCTTCTACAAATTTAATCAAGGACAATCTACAAGCTCAGATATTTTAAAATTTTTAAAAATCCTACGGTATATATATAACTTCTTTGCAAGTTTATTTTTCTTCTATGTATTAAGTGTGTTGTTGACATCTTTTTAGCTCAAACCTTTGGTCAAAGAATTTGACCTAGTCAAATTGACCAGGTCAGGCCCCAAGACCCCTTCCATTCAATTCAGTGGGTCAAACTGAGTTTTTTAAGCCCTAACTCAGGCCATGAGTCAACCTGATTGACCAGCTCAACCTGGGTTGACCCCAATTGACCTAAATGCCTTCTTTTAATTTCAAATCCAATTCAGAGCTTCTCGAGCTCAATTCTTACCTCCCTTGGACTCAGTGGGTTAGACCCAATCCATTGGGCTTAGACTGTGCCCTGGGTCAACCTGGTTGACTAGGTCAACCCAGGTTGACCCACTTAACCTATTTGAGCTCAAGTTGATTTTATTCCAATCCTAGCTTATTCTTAGACTCAACCCACTCTCTTGGACTCAATGGACTAGGTTAACCAAGTCAACCTTTGACTTGGGCAACCCAACTCTTATTGGGTCAGTTTCACCCATTTGAGTTTAATTCAATTTCAAAGCATTGCAAGGCTATCCAAGGCTCAAACCCTCCACCCCTTGGACCTATTTGACAGGGTTGACAAGGTAAACCATTAACTTGGTCAACCCAAGTCTTAAATAGGTCAAATTGACCTATTTAAATCAATTAAGACCCTTCTTTAATGCAATAAAAACCTATTTAAATCAATTAAGACCCCTGTTAATGCAATTAAACCTTTCCTAATGCTCTATTCATGAAAACCACGACCAATTCAAATTTAATTACCTCCTAATTACCCTTTGATACAATCCTAGCCGTTCCCTTTGAATTCTAAACCTTTAAATAGAGATATTAGGGTTTCTTTTAGCTCTCTTGCATTATATTGTTTCTCTTTCCGTCTAAACCCAAGATCTCTCGTGATTGAGCTTCCACAACTCCCTTCCACTTTTCCCGAGTAAAAGCCACTATCAAGGCCTCGCTGGAGGTGAGATCTCCGGCCAACTGAGGTTAAAGTCATTCCAAGGCGTTTGGTGATCGATCCAGGTGCTAGGAGCTCTAAGGATCTTCTACAAATTTAATCAAGGACAATCTACAAGCTCAGATATTTTAAAATTTTTAAAAATCCTACGGTATTATCTCTCGAAAACCCTTAGATTAGGCCAAACACTTAGATCTAATCAGCATTTTAAAAAACATGTTTTAGGCCAAACTAAAACATGTTTGGTGGGTGACGGAGGTCAGAATGACTGCAGTCAGCGGGAGATGGAGGTCAAAAAAGATCATAGTTGGAGGACATGAGGAAGTCCAACGGTGGTCGTAAGAACTTCGGTGGTGGTCGGTGGACTTGCAGAAGTCTGGCGATGGTCAAGAGGAACTCCAATGGTGGTCTGCGGATATGCAGAATGTTAAGATAGTTACTACTTAGTTTTACATGTTTGATATTTTTGCAACTTGTATGTTTTTGATGATTCCAAATATTATTGATTTGGTTATTATTTCTTCTAACATATTTTGAAAGAATTTTTTTTGCTGTTGTGTTTACTAACATTTCAGAAAAATCATACTCCGGATTGTTGAAGATATCAAATCAAGATCAGTTTAGAGTTTATTGTAATTGAAGTCAATATTTTCTATTTTATTGAGTCTGAGAGAGTGTGATTGTAATTGAATAACTGAGCACACACGCACACACACACCGAGGGAGAGTTTAAAATTCATTTTATTTAAACTGATCGTACTGTACGATATCACTTTGTACGGGACGATTTGATCAGTTATTTTTGCCAACGAGCAGTCGAATGATCTAAAATGAAATTTTTTATAAGTATGGATCGTACGGGACGATCCCATTTCGTATATGCTTTCATGAGTATGAACGTCTCGGGGCCACCCTCGCTCAAATTTTTTTTCTAAGTATGGATCGTATGGGACGATCCCAGTTCGTACATGCCTTCATGAGTAAGAACATCTCAGGTCCGTTCTCGTTCAAAAGTATTTTTTCTAAGTAGGGATCATACGGGACAATCCAAGTTCGTACATGCTTTCACGAGTACGAACGTCTCGGGTCTGTTCTTACTCAAAAATAGTTTTTCTAAGTATGGATTGTACTGTACAAACCCAGTTCATACATGCCTTCTAGAGTACGAAATTGTGAGGTCCTATTTCGTTCAAACCTTTCGTTCAAATGAATTTTGAAAATTTTCATACTGTTCATCCCGGACGAACTTAATTCATACCGGACGATGATCGTGTATGAAATGATTTTATACCGATTCACAATAGGTTTGTATGCAATAGTATTTAAACTATTCGTACATACGAAATATAATTGTACTATATGATCGTGTACGCTCAAAATTGAAAAATAAAGTTTTCTGGACAATTTTTCGTGTCTTTTGTATAAAAGGTCCATTAAAAATTACGTCAAAAAGTATAGTCTTCATGAATTTTCAAGGGCAATTGAAGGAGAGAGTGTTTGAGAGAGATTTCTTTCTAGTAGAGTGTGAAGGGTTCACAAGGTTACTCAAAGGTAAGGATCTCTGTGTGATTTGTGTTTTTCACTCTTCCTCTTATCTTTCTAGATTGCTTGTGAGAAGATCTTTGAAGAAGATTATGTTCTCTGCCGACACTTAGAGAGTGTGAAGAGCCGAAGGTATTCTGCCTACACTTGGATGGTGTGAAAGGATGATGATACTCTGCCTACACTTGGAGGGTGTGAAAGGACGAAGGTACTCTGCCTACACTTGGAGGATGTGAAAAGACAAAGGTTCTCTGCCTACACTTGGAGGGTGTGAAAGGAGGACTGTTCTCTACAACACCGGAGATTGGTGGAAGAGAGTTTTGTAAAGGCGTCTCCGCCATATTATGAGGAAAAAAGGAGAGCACTTTGGTAATAGTGCAACATCTGAAGATGGAGTCTTCAGGGAGTGGATGTAGGTCATGTTTGACCGAACCACTATAAATCTGTGTCGTTTAAATTTCCACAACTTACTGCAAGTTTTTATTTTGTGGTTGAAAATTTTGTTTTTAAATAACTTCAATTAACTTGCTACGAATCGTTAAAGGTTTTTAAATTTTAAATACAAGAGAATTTTTAAAAATACCAATTCACCCCCCCCCCCCTCTTGATTAGACTTGGGACATTAGTTTATGTTTAACAACCTACACAAGATTCAACACAGAAATCTAGTGATGGTCGGCAGACTCGAGGAAGTCCGTTGGTGGTCGGCGGACTGGCAGATGGCCAACGGTTGTTGGGAAGAACTCCGACAGTGGTCGACGACAAGCAAGCTTCTAAATTCTTCCCTTCTCCTCCTCCTTTTCCTTTCATGAGAAGAATGGGGGTTATTTATACTTTTCTTAGAGTGGCATGGCTTATAAATATAGAGAAGATCGATGGCTTGTTGAAAGTGGTTTGAATGGACGGTCAATATTGATCCCCTTGATTATGGACCGTTTACTAGTCATTTTAAAACCTTAATGATATCATAATTTGATGATATTGGGCTTGTTGGATTCGTCTCGTCGAGCCGATATATTTGACTATAAGCATGTAATGTTTAGAATTTGTTTGGTAGTTTAAATCATGATTTGAACATTCTAAAAGTTCTTTGAGTCTTCGATCATGACCTATTGGGGCTCGGATTGAGTCGAATTTGGTGTCTGTGCCTCAATATTAATGCCTGATCAAGATAATTTTTTACTGATATATCAATTATAACTATAATCATCTATCTCTTGTGAGAAAGACCCTATCTTTAAAATGAATTCTTACATGAATCTTAACTTGAAGCTGAAGCAATCTTCTTTCCATCATAGAGTTTAAAGTAGAAAAAACATTTGTATCACACCAACCAAGCTTTATCAAAACTCCAATCCATTTCTTACTGCTAAAGCTAACACATTTTTTGAAAATATGCCAAGGAAACAACCCGAGGATGACTAAATTTGGCAAATTTCTCTCAGAAGATGCATTAGATAATGCTCTTAATGACCCCTTCATGGTTGAATCTCTTGTAATGGCCAATCACCAAAATTTTAAGCTTTCATTACCAACTTAAGCCCCGTCGTGGGTTCTAAAAAGATGAAAGAAAAAAAAAAAACTAATATCATATATTTACAAACATACCTTTTGATTTTTTTACTTTTCCAACAACTTCATCTATTTTTTTATTAATTAAAATTATGTTAATTTACATGCAAAAAGAAAAGAAAATTTTAATTTAAAGAGTTGTTATTTTTTACTAATTGATAAAATGAATATCTTTCTTCCCTCAATATTCTTGTTTTACCCTTTCTATTGCTCAAATTAGGTAGCTGAGGGTTCAATAGATCACTACTGCTGGCAATGGCTGGAGAATGACCACCATCAAGATACAATCAGTACATGAGGGAACCAAGTTTCGCTAATTAATGAGTATACAAAATTTAGAAAAATTCTGAACAATATCTGCAACTATACATCAGATATATTACATCCACATGTAATTACAGTAAAGAAGAATGTTGAGCACGTGCAAAAAGGTTATAAACTAAAGTAAGAGGGGGTGCTGAAAGAAGATGAAGAGATGACAATGATAACTACCAACGTCAAACTACGAAGCAGTATATAAGGACCTATTTACAAAGTGCTATATCACTATCCTATGGGTCCTTATTTGATTGAACCTAATATGTCAAACACCTATTGATACACCCAAATATCTATAGAGAAAGAAAATTAATGTGACATCAAAATAAGCTCTCGGAAAACTGCTAAGAGAAAACCCCTAGTGTGCATCTAGAATAAATATCTAGAGATCCACAGGTCAAACAGCATTTAATAAATATGATTCGCTCTAGACGCGTACCACATTTGTTGGGGGACATTTGTTGAGCAACATACCTAAGAAAAAAAAAGAGGCATTTAACGTACATGTTCGAATGTCCAGCCACGAACTTAGATGTACGTTGTACGCACATCTCTGCCATACCTTGTACATCTCAATGTTGCATCTCCCACGACTTCGCATGATTGGCTCCTCGTTAAATGCCGAAGGAGTGAGGCTTACAATCCCTCACTCTTTCCCATCTCCCTCTCGCGTGCTCCTTCGGCTCCACTGTTGTTCAACTTCACGCCTTAAACGACTTTCCCTTCATGTGGGATCATAGGTTACGATATTTGATCGGAAGCAGGAACTAGAGCTCGCGTGCAGTGATTATAACTCCTCCCTTTCGTGCCCTTCTCTGGCTCCTCTACTATTGTTCGACTTCACACCTTCAACGACTTTCCCTTCATGTGGGATCGAAAGTTACGACATTTGATCAGAAGCAACAACGGGAGCTCGCGTGCAGTGAAGTAACTTTCTCCCTGTCGAGCGCTTCTGCAACCAAATCCCGTATGGAAGGATTTAACAAAAATCCTGCTTAAACTTTGTATAAATCCTATTGCCAATCATACCCTAAATTCTACACAAATCATGTGTAAATCCACATCAAATCTTGCGCTAATTGTGTTATCATTATAATTAATTATAATTTATTTATAATTAATTATAAATTAGGCAAATTTATTTATAACTAATTATAGATTAAGCATAATTAATTTATTAATTTATAATTAATTCAAATTGAAATAATTGATTAATAATTAATTATAAATAAATTATAATTAGTTATAATTAATTTATAATTAATTATATGTTGAGTATGATTAATTATAAATAATTTATAACTAATTATAAATGAAGCAAGCTTACACCTCAACGCATGTGAATAGCCGATCAACCACGTATACACGCTTTTCTTAGTATGGTTGGAGGAAACCCGGTACGACACCTGCAACGAAGCAAATAAGTGCTCTCAACCCAAAATCCTATCATCGGCGTTCTTATCAAGCCGAAAAACTACCAATACACATTTTTTTCATGCATGATGAGAAAGGACCCAGTGTGACACCTACGGTGAGGCGGGTAGGCCATATAAATGCTCTTGTAGCATGGTGGGGACAATCATAAGTACCCATACGCAACTCTGTACCTGCGAGGAAAGCAAACTGTGCTCTTTTCAAACAGGTACCGAAGGCCCATACACACCTTTTTATGGCGTGACGGGATTGAAGATTTCACGACTGTAGTATCATACGACACCTATCATACACGCTTTTCTCTAGCATGACGGGAGGCCTAGTTTCCCATAATTTCCCTTAAACAAGGAGGACGCTGGAAGGCTGCCAAAATTTTTGATAAACTAAGAACTTGGATAAATTGAAGACCAAATTTGAACTCAAATGAACAAAGAACAGGGGACTTGCTTTGAATGAAAAGGACGACATGAGACTTGTTTTGGGCTTATTTGAGCATTGACTTTAACACTAATTGAACCAATTTCAAACTTGAATGTTCAAGCAAAAGATTTAAAATTAATTTGACCAAAGAAAATTGAACTTGAACGATCACAAAGACTTGAATCAATGCTGAACTACATGGGACTTGATGAACTATAATGGACTCATTACGGACTTGAATGAATGCATAAGGCATATAAATTGAACTTGATATAAGGGTCTTGAACAACAAACTACATGGAACCAGATATAAGAAAATTATAATAAATAAGATAAAAAAATGCAATTTATTTGTAAAAGAAGAAAATCAATAAAGTCTCAGCTTGCAAGTAATAACATAAAAACTCCTAATGGGTATCGAGATATGCCATGATGATTAGAGAAAAAACTCTCCATGCATACAAATGATGGAGCTCCAAACACGTATAATGACTTATCTGTGAATAGTTCAGTGATACGCTCGTAAGCAAAGTTTGGAGATCTGACAACATCTTTATAATGAGCATTATGAACATAGAAGCCCACAATAATTGTTCATACCACTTGCAATAGTACCGTGGCAAGTATGAATGTTTATCCCTGCAAGCATAAGGGTCAAAAATATGATGTATATGATAACTCAAGGCAGTAGACGCTATAATATTATGGAGTCAACACTGATCAACATACAAGTGAGTAGAACGGTCCCTCCCTTACTAACATGGGATTGAGGTGCAACGAATAATAATCTGTGTCGTGTGAGAAAGTATGATAATCCTTGCAAATGACAAAGTTTCTTGCCGACATGTTCATAACAGTGTGTAATGACTACGGGGATACTTCTACAATCAATGACAATTCATTGTTAAGCAAATACATCTAACGCTTGCAAGTGACGATAGCGGAGGTGATCATTTTAGAGGGTGTGATTACATATGAATGTCAACGATGCAAACTCATCATGCAAACTATAATCCATTCTCAAGGATACTGAAAGAATTGTAAAGCTCACTATAACGTACAGTCAAGAAACATAAAGCTTTTAATGTTCATTTAGTCAGCTTGAGGCTTATGAGACGAGCATGAAAGAAGAAACGAAGAAGAACCTCTTAAAGAATATATTAATTCATTTGAGGGGCTCCTAACAAAGGAAGTAACATTTCCCACAAGCGTACGCAAAGAAGATCATACCAAGTGTAAAGGATTACTTACAACAAGAGTAGAGAATATACAATGGTGTACATATGAGCGACGATAGCGAATGCGAGCTATTTAAAAATGATTAAAGCTGAATGTTGTGAGCATGGAAGATCATACATGGACACAAATGTAAGAAAACCATTGTCCACTAGCAATAGAAGACATGTAGGAAACCTGCTACATGCTAAAGATGTTATCCGCAAACAAAATACCAAATGACTATAGAAAATGCAAGCATCTACAGACTATTGTTGGAGCCCCGTCAAATACACTACATGCCATATACAAGCAAAAATCGACAAGATGGTGAAAATAATAAAAATTCTAAAAATCCCGAAATTTCAAATATTTAAAATTAAAATTCAACCATCTAATCTCTTAAAACAAAATTCATCCACACTCAGCAGCATTTTTTCGGGGTGGGCAATTTAAAATTTACTTCAACTCACATAGAGCTAATGTCTAGTCGAAAATATCACTATGATTCATTTTTAAATAATCTCCTGCAAACAATGACGTGGTATGTTTCCTCTGATCGACAATTTTACCACCAAATGACACCGCAAAATAAACGGTTATGACCCGGGGCCCTTTGAATCAAGTGGTTTTGCCGCCAAATGGCACCTCTAAATTATGGTTAATTTTAGAGCCAATATGTTCCTTAGTGGCATCAAATCCTTGAGATATGAATCAACATGATATGATCGATATGTCACAAAGCCCTCTGTTAGATAAGGTGGTTTCAAATTTGTCTTCTTAGACAAACACTCTTACCAGGTCTATAAGGCCCCCTTTGACCAAACAACCCATGGCTGTCGACAAAGATCCTTTTGTCAGGTTAGGTCGATTACCTCCTCTGACAAAGTAGACCAAGGACCAAGATGGCGCGGGATGACGGAACCACGTGATCATGATCGGGTTCATCATCACTCCCCTCACCATCCGCTTTAAGTGTAAGATGGTGAAAATTTCAATTTTAAATATCAAAATTTTCAAACATCCAAACTAAAGCCCAATACTGATATTATATGTCAGATATCATGTATCTTTGTATACAATGTATCACTCAATGAGTAGCTTTAATCAAAAGTTCTCTCTCGTTACAGTGAGGGGTAATTAACTATAGGGTCTTGTGCCTATCGGAAACCAAAACTCATATCATAAAGTCCTCACAAAATGAGGGCAAAATATCTGGGTAGTGTCCTATCCTAAACCCTAAACTTAATATGTTAAAACTTCCTCAAAAAAAAAAGCAAAATGGGGGAGGCTGGGACCAAATTTCGGAGCCCACAAAATGAACGGTTCATCTCCAAAGACATAAAGTCAATAAGAGACCCGATCTTCTGTGAACGAGTTGATAGATCGAGTCGACAAGATTCAACGAATGAAACATGAATTACCTCAATCACCCCGATGACGACCGTGTTGAATATAGACCCCAACCGGAGGGGTTAACTCCAAGCATTTTAAATACCTCCAAACTTCCACAAAGTTTCAATCCACAAAATGAAAATATTTTTAAATAGCCCCCATCACCCCAATGATAGCCGTGTTGACAGAAAATCTCAAAACGGAGGGGTTAATTTCAAATAATTCAAAATGCCACTCGCATATAAAGAATGCAATATTCCATATAACTCAAAAAACTCAAAATTCGAAAATCTAAAAAATGTTTAAAATTGAACAATCATTCAAACGCTTAAAGAAAAAAATCCATACACCTTCAGCTCAAATAATCTCTTACCAGTAAGGATGTGTTACGTGTCATCTGATCGACGGTTTTTTCACCAAATGACACCGCATGATAAACAGTTATGACCTGGGGCCCTCTGAACCGAATGGTTTTGCAGTCAAATGGCACAACTAAATTACGATTATGGTCAAAGACAATATGTTCTTTAGTGGGGCTCAGATTGAGTCTTCGATCATGACCTATTGGGGCTCAGATTGAGTTGAATTTGGTGTTTGTGCCTCAATATTAATGCCTGATCAAGATAATTCTTTACTGATATATCAATTATAACTATAATTATCTATCTCTAGTGAGAAAGACCCTATCTTTAAAATGAATTCTTACATGAACCTTAAATTGAAGCTGAAGCAATCTTCTTTCCATCATAGAGTTTAAAGTAGGGAAAACATTTGTTTCACACCAACCAAGCTTGATCAAAACTCCAATCCATTTCTTACCGCTAAAGCTAACACATTTATTGAAAATATGCCAAGGAAACAACCCGAGGATGACTAAATTTGGAAATTGATAAATGAATATCTTTCTTCCCTCAATATTCTTATTTTACCCTTTCTTTTGCTCAAATTAGGTAGCTGAGGGTTCAATTGATCACTACTACTGGCAACGGCTGGAGGACGACCACCTCTCGCCATGCATATAAGATAGATTTTGAACACCCATCCTCCGAGGTGGCGGCGGAGATGGTGGAAACTATGTTGGCGGCCTCTATAGTCTTTCGAATTGGGAGCCCGTCATACTCTTCTTTGTTGCTTCGACATGCCCGAGAGTTGTTCAAGTTCGCCGACCGCCAGCGAGGCAGATATGGTTCCAACATGTCGGCGGCCAAGAGATATTATCCATCGTTGAGCATGATGCAAGAGCTAGAGTAAGGCACATATAAAGCAGATTAATAACTTGCTGCTGGAATTTTGGTGTAGTTAAGCAAATTGCACCCGCAGTTGTGTCCAGTTCACTTGAGTCCTTATAGCTTTCGAGTGGGTCCTTCTATGGAATTTTTATTGGGTGTGGAGTCTAGACGTAGCTCTACGTCTGGAACCCTATAACATCGCACCACGTGGATCCCACCATTACCCCACCATTCTAATTACCATGATTTTTTACAGCGTGGCCCAACGACCCAACTTGCCCTATTCGTAAAAAATTAAAAAAATGAGGTAATTCCCAGGGTTTTCGTAGATGGCGCAGGATATTTACCTCATTTAATACATGTTTTCTCGTTATTTAAAAGTTGAGAAAGAGGAGAAAGTCTAGAGAGGAAGCTATGAAGATGGAAACCGGTCTTGAGGATGTCAAATATTATGCGAACATGGAAGGCATTACGCAAGAGACCCATCAAAGTAAGAAAGAAGTTCTACAGCAAACTACCGAAAATAATTCGGATATATTATCGGTAAATATGATATTTCACTCTTTATTTTTATTAAATTTCCTTGCAATGATTTTTTGTTGTCTAATCTCACTTGTATGTCGTTGTTTTCTAACGATAGGTACTCCTAGGTACTGCTCGGTATTGCTAGGTACCGATGTTGTGTACCGGTGGGTACAATTGGTGTGTTTATTTCCAATGTTAAAATCAAAGTGTTTAATTAGTTTTTCTTGTGTAATAGTGAGAAAGAAGCATATGACATGCACTATCATTATGGTCATAATCTTAGTTTTAGTGTTCACAAAGAACATCACTATTATTGGCCTAATTCGATAAACATAAGAATGATTTTGTCTATTCGAAAGTTGGATTTAGGGTTTAGGACAAGGTGTCCCGTGATGATTAGATTTTCAGTCGACCTAGATGGAGTATGGACAGTGTAGAAATACATAGAGAGCCACAATCACAAATTAGCAAGGCCTGAAGATCAACATTTGCTTAGATCATGTATGAGTTTTAAAGATGAGAGAGTATTTGTTCTTAAATCAATGACAGAAGCTTGGATAAGAACCATTGATGCATTTACATACCTAGTTGATGAAATTGGAGGAAGAAAGAATGTAGGATTCTCTAAAAGGGATGCATATAACTGTTGCAGATCTATGGCTTATGATTTTGATGATAGCAAACATTCTTTTTCTCTATGACTGCCTTATCTACTGACATTTCAGGTTCACACGATCGGACTGCTATTTAGAACCAGCTCAAGATTGGGTATACTAGGTCTGAGTCAGTTTGTACTCTTTTTTCTTTCTTGAGTCTATTATATTTATTGTGGCTCCTGATGTTTTGTAACGTATAAGAGTTTCTGACTATTCCCTAGAGTTTACTATTTTTGGTAACATCGTCCTAGACGATATTTATATCGGCCAGGACAATCTGTTCAAAAGCAGAAATCCTAATTAGGGCCTCCTTATTAAAGCAGCCGTCATTATGCAAAACACATTGTCTTAGACGATTCTGTATCGGCCAGGACGATAGGCTCAATTCAGAAAGAATCTGCCGCCATATCTAATTAAAAATAACCTATTTTTGGATATTGTCCAGCTGGATTGTCCAGGACTATAAAATATCGTCCAGGACGATCCAAGTCAATTTTTCCAAAATTTCTCTGGAATTTAAGGAAAGCAATTATGACTTGATTTCACGAACAAATCGGCCTGGACGATCGCCAAATCATCATGGCCGATGTGCTGGACAATTGGACATCGGATAGCTATTTTTTAGAGCGATGTTCAGGACGATATTCCACAATTTGTTCTGATCGTCCAGGACGATATATTAAAACTTCTTCTGATCGTCTCAAATCATCCCGGCTGATTGGGCTTAAATTGTACTGATCGTACAGGACGATATGCCTATCGTCCTGGACGATAATGTCGGCAACTTGCATTAATGAGGCATGTTTTGAGCCCTTCTATTTAAGAGATGACAAGGCACTTTGTAAGTATCTTTGTCAGCCATTTTAGCTTCATTGTTATGGGGGAGACTTAAAGAGAGAGCTTGAAAGGGAGTGAGGAACGGGTGAAGTATGAGAGGGAGAAGATCCTGTGAGGGGTGACTCAAGGGAGTGTGGAGGGGATTCCACACGGTTGCTCCGGTAGGCTTGCATCTTAATACCATCGGATTCAAGGCTTGTCTCGAGGGAAGTTCACTAAAGAAGAAGTTCACTTTGGTGTCAAGAGACCCAGCGAATCCGCCGCACCGGGGAAGGTGGAAGTGATTTTGTAAGGGCTTCTCCGCCTAGCTCTGGGGGCTAAAGGAGAGACACTTTTGTAGTGTAATACTTGGAGGGTGCCTCCAATGAGTGGACGTAGGTCAAGGTTTGACCGAACCACTATACGTCAAACAAGGGGTTTATGCATTTTCTTTATTGATAATTCACAACAAAACCCTAGCAAAAAATGAGTGGAAATTTTATCAAGCCGTACAAAAAAATAAATCATACGAATTCTGCACAATCAAACCTTCACATCATTCCTATTCATTCATTTCCTTGAGTGGGATGAAAGGAGTTTCTTATGTCTACTCATAGGAATGTCTCCAATTTATAATAAGAGAGAATAAAGGCCTTGAAAGACCACCAAATCAACAAGAAAAATGATAGACCAGTCCCTCTTATCCCTCTTGGACTGGTCATAAGAGGGCCATCCAAACCGGCTAGGGTATATGCCAGGCAGACTAGGGAGAATTCCGCCCCTTTGAAGTGGGCCTAGGTGTTGATGTTTTTTGTGCAGACCTTAGCCGAATCGGGTTCGATTTGACCCGATCTACCTAAATGAACGTCGCCGAAGTAAAATTCACCTAAATTGAGCCCTAATTTAATTCAATTAAGCTCAATTTTATCAAATTAAGATCGAGCCGACCCAAAATCAATCCAAATTAAACTCAATCGAGCATCGTCGAACCAAATTCAACACAATTCAATGCCGATTCGAGCCCAATTTGCAAAATTGACTCGACCAGACCCAATTGGACCCAACTCGATTTGAGACGAGTCTAATTTGGGCTCAACTTCAGCCCATTCAGTCAAATCTGGGTTTATTTGACTTCCTAGATCTAGCAACTAAATCAACTGCCGAGATTTCCTCAAAGAAATTGAAATCTAAGCATTGTCCTTTGTTAGAGCTCCTTGATCATAAGCAGGATACACACGACTGTAGCAGGATCTTTAGGTAGGAAGTCAAATCGAAGGGCAGAATCCTTCGTTTGACGTATAGAGACAGGAGACAGAACCGAGAAAGGGTCTTCGACATTCATCCTCCCGTCTTCGTGTGTCCCGAACAGAGCGAGGAAAAGAGGTGCTTGCATAGGCTTCTCTAGGACATCCGACTCCCTCCCACCGAGCCCGCTAGGTGCTGATCGTCTCCAGGAGATGGAAATGCTAGGTCTCCGAACCCCTTCAAACTGTCGACAATGTCCAGATCAGATTCCTACTCAGCCTATCGAACCTGTTCAAATTTTCGACCTCATCTAGGCAGACAAAATCCCAGGTCGTGATCCATTCAGCCATCTTGAACCGAGGAGTTTCGTTTGCACCTGTGCTTGACGTTTTCGTGTGTCCAAGCTGTGAAGAAGGGCCCAACCAAGCAAGAGTTTCGATCTGTTCGTTTCTTTGAGAGAGTCGAGTGGAACAAGGCAACCTCTTGATGGTGAAATCAGCACCTGGAAGCTTTCAAACAGCAGCAATAGCAATTTCAAACACGAGAACAACAATTTTCTTCCTTCCACAGTTTTGTCGCCTTTGCAAGGCGAGTGGAGTGTGGTTGACGCCATGACAACCCGATGAAGTAAAATCCATCAAAACTTAGTGAAGCCCAAATCTATCGACATGTTGGTCGTATGTTTGATGTTCCAAAGCCATAGGTTCTTAGAAACCTTGCATTATGTTTTATAAAAACCAAGGTAAATCCTCTATTTGTAGTCCTCTTCGTAAAATAGTGAAAATGTGGTGATTTTCGTTTGTTTGCTCTCTCATGAGAGTCAAAGAAGCATGCCGATGCACGTAGGGTTGCTGGATTGTGTCCGGGGCAACCCTCTAAATGCATGAATTCGCATCATGTTGCTTTCTAATGTTGTCACCAATGACCAAGCCCTAAGCTAGGTGATCTCATTTGATGACCAATCGAATGTTTTAACCTTAGAATCAAAATCCTATGTTCATTCCACCCCTTATTTGTTGATAACACAAAATCAACAAACTTTCACCTCTTTTTTCCCTTAATGCATGACTTTTGGAACCTCCTCAGGGTTCCAAATGTTATAGTGCATGGGTCATTGGGTCTTAGAGACAAATCCTAAGTAATGCATCCTTCGTTTGTTGACACAAAATCAACAAACAACCACTTTCTTCATGTATGATGCTTGGAGCACCCGCAAAGCTTCAAGTGTTAGGTTGCATGAAACTTAACATCTATTAGGAACTCTCTAATAGATCATCTTCCTTCTCATATATAATGATTTAGAGCATCCCAACTCTACAAACACTTCATTATATGAATCATTGAAGTTTAGAAACAAATCCTAAACTTCATTCTTCATTTGTTGAGACACAAAAAGTAGGCAGATGGACTTTCCACCTCTTCCATGCAAGATATTTGGAGCCTCCCCAAGGCTCTAAATGTTCTATACATGAATCATTGGAGCTTGGAACCAAATTCCAAGTCATCCGCCTCATTTTTTTTAAACATACTCAACAAATAATTATGCACATCTCATGTGTGATGTTTGTGAGTCTCCCCATCACTCCAAACCAACACTCCAAACATTTCATTGCATGAATCATATGATCTCAAGGTCAAAATCGGATGGTGGGGGAATGGATGATAGACCCGATCAAGATCCCATGGTTCCGTCGTCCCGGGCCATCGTGGTCCCTGGTCTACTTAGTCAGAGGAGGTAGTCGACCCAACCTGACAGAAGGGTCCTTGTCGACAGTCATGGGTTGCTTCGTCCAAGGGTACCTTGTAAACTTGGGGTAAATATTTGCCTAATGGGACAAATTTGAATCCACCTTAGCTAACAGAGGGCTTTGTGCCCTATCGATCATATCCTATTGATTCATATCTCAAGGATTTGATGCCAATAAGGAGCGTATCGGCGCTGGCCACAACCGGTATTCTGTGGTGCCATTTGGCGGCAAAACCACTCGGTTCAGAGGGCCCCGTGTCATAACCGTTTATCCTGCGATGCCATTTGGCGGCCAAACAGCCGGTTAGAGGACACGTACCACATCCTTAATAGCAAAAAATTGTTTGAGAATGGATCCTAGTGATATTTTCGACTAGGCATTTAGCTCTTTTTTGAGCTGAGGTAAAATTTAATTTGAACACCTCGGCAAACTGTTGCGGAGGGTGGATGAAGTTTGCTTTAAGTGTTGATGGATTTATTTCAAATTTTAAATATTTGAAATTTGGGATTTGTAAAGTTTTGGATTTGATTGGACTTTTTGGGAGGCATTGGAAATTATTTGGAATGGACCCCTCCGGTTGAGATTTTTATTCAATGCGGCCATCATCGAGGTGTTTGGGATCATTTCCATTTGTTGATTGAACCTTGTCGACTTAGCCGAGTTGTTGACCGAGGGTCGGGTTTCTCATCTGTTTTGTGCCTTTGGGAATGAATTTCTTCTATTAAAGGCCTTGAAGGTCTGATATGAATGTATTAAAACAAATATAACGGTCGTCACAGCCGTATATTTGTTTGTTGGTTCGAACCCTATCGACTTCTATTGATCCGTATAGAAGGATCGGGTTCGAACTTGAATTCACTTGTTAACCCGCGCAGCATCCCTAGACGTCACGTGTGTACCAATAATACACTCGTCAGGGCCCATGCGGGTCCTATGATTGATTTTACCCCTTTTAGCGTACCTATGTGCATACAAACTACGGTGCACGTGCGTAGGTATTTTGAAAGTATCCGTAGACGCCTTCTATCCGCTTGCATAGAAGTTGCGGATCCTGTGGCGTGGCGTTGTAGTTCGTGGACGTCTTCTATCTACTTGTACGAATGTCGCAGATCCGGTGGCGTAGCATTGTAGTTTGTAGACGCCTTCTGTCTGCTTGTACGAATGTCGCAGATCCGGTGGCATAGCATTGTGAATCCACCTTAGCTGACATAGAGCTTTGTGCCTTATCGATCATATCCTATTGATTCATATCTCAAGGATTTGATGCCACTAAGGAGCGTATT